AAATGTCTGAGCCACAGCAGTCTTTGCTTGGGTTATTCGAAGCTGAAACAGCTGTTTGTACAAACAACAACCACAACTGATTGCAGAGTGGGCCCCAGTTCAGATAAAGGAAACAGAAGTTGGCCGGCTTAATCCTAGGCAAGTTCCTTAGCCTCTTTGAACCTGTTCTTCATCTGTGAAATGAAGGCAGTAGTGGTGTTGACCTCATAATAGGGCTTTTGTGATGTATGCGCATGGTAACATGTATGAAACTCCTAGCAACACCTCTGCCTATGACTTGGTTGGTACATAGTCAATACTCACTTATTAATTATTAGCCGTTATTACTACTTTAAGGAATAAATTTATCTTACGGCCTAGGGAAGTACTTATTAAATTGTTTTAGGATTAGAAGCCCCTCTGGTTTGGATTTAGACACAGACCCAGGCCTAGGTTTGAACTAAACTGAACTTTTGGGTTTATGGCATGGCGAGGGGAGGCAAGGCGGGAAGAAGCGGGGGTAGCAGGATGGGAGGCAGTGGTGCAAGGTGTTATGGCCACAAGAATATTAATTTCCATGTCAGCCTCTGGTTTAATTTGGCATTGACTGTTCTACAAACAAAGCAGCGTTGTGAGCGGCAGAGGAAGGGAGCGGAGGAAAGTCAACACATTCTTGGAAATAAGATGTGGCTTTTGCTTTGCTATTTTGTTTTTTCTTCAGCCACAGAAATATTTCTTTGCTCTTGGGCTCACAATGAAAATCCCTTCTAGGACATGGTACAAACCTAAGCTTCAGAGAAAACATCTATTTAAAATAACAAGGTGTTAGTAAGACTTCCATTGATGGTTGTTTTTAGTACAAGGACCTCTCAGATAGGGTCATGAAACCTAGGAAGAAAGTTTTGCATATACTTAGGGATCTGGGCCCTCATCTCTCATAGCTATGACATATGTGGTACTTGGAAAGTTGAATATCTGCTATTTTTCTGATGTCTTCACGTCAAAGTGTTTATAGGTGTATATAGATATAGATATGTATTATTTATTTATTCTTGCCATGTAATTATATGTCAGGCCTTTCTAATTTTAAGAGAATTTTTTTAGTATAAAGTCCGACGGCAATAATTCATTCTCCAGTAGTTGCTCCTTCGGATCTCAGACATCTGGCAGAATGTTATAGGAACAGGTCCTAGGTCAATATTCAAAGCACAGGAAAGCTCTGTGTGACCATTAATGGAACTTTCCTGTTTTCTGGTTCTGTGGTATATGTTTAAAGGTTTCTAGCAGAAAAGTTTGGGCACTCACCTTTCCTCCATGAATGCAGGACTTCTTTTGCAACAGCAATAGAGTAAATGGCCGTTTGTGATGTTAACTTTGCATCAGTGATGACAGGATAGATTGTGTAGAGACTGATAATTGCTTCCTAACCCTATTCCTCCAGAGATAATATGCACTGGACACTCAGGCTCTGCTTCAAAGAGCTTACATTTTAGTTGGGACATCAGATCTTAATACACATTCTGTGCTATAACAATACAGAGCAATATGTTCACAGTACGTAACACTGAAACATGGACCTACATACATGATTTAATAAGCAAAAACAATATACTTCACTTTTACACTTTAAATGCCATCTACAATTTACTAAATTGTATCCTTCCCATAAAGATTAAATTGGTTTTGGTTGAAATTTCAATACCCTGTATGGATAAAGGAACATATAAATCAATAGTATTCTTGATGTTAGATTTCAACTCAAATTTTCTAGAGGTAACTTTTTTTCTCCATTTAAGGATATATTTTTGTATATTTTATGGAGGAAACCTAGAGAGAGTTTCACAGAGTATTTATTTTGTACTAAACTGAAAATGGAGTTTTCACGCCCAATAGTGGTTTCTTTCTTTTCTCCCTAATTACACCTCTTCTACATTTTTAGAAAGAAGAATGCTAAGGATTGAGCTAGTGTCTCTAAATAAAAAGGGAAACCCAGATGCCTATACCACTTCATTAATTCATTTTGTAAATGTGTTTTGAACCTGACTAGATGAAAAAGACATTCCTACCCTGAAGTTTCTGTGAGAAGTAAATGACCTATTTAAATTGAGGGCAATTTGAATGGTTCATTTGGTCACTCTGGACGCCTAAAAGGTGCCAGAAAGTAGGAAACAATGGGGATCTGTAATGTCTAGGCTCATTTTCCCGCTCTTTAATGAGCTGCATAGAATTAACCCATTATATCTATAGTTCAATAAATATGTGCACTTATTCCTGTGTACCAGACAGAGCACTTCCACATATACTCCTTATAAAATAGGTAGCCCTATTTTACAAGTGTGTATTAAAGAACTTAAATATCCTCAAAGGCTCTGCTGATGTGCATGATCCAAGTTTTGCAGGCCTTTCATCTATCTGGAGACTTGTCTTTACATTTAACCATTCCTAAAGTCAAGACAAGAACAAAAACATCCTCAGCTCTTATTTTATCATCAGCTGATTTTTAAAATTATTTTTTATTCCATTCTACCACAAAGGTTGACTCTCAGGGCTGCCTCTGGACATATTAGGGGGACGGATATTTTTGGTGTTCATTCCCATTCTGTAAATGCTTTATTTAAATCCTTAGGAACAAAACATAGTTTCAAATTCTAGGAAGGTCTAAAAAGCTGGGAGAATTTCTTTGGGGGGTGGTGAGGACAGATCATACCCAGTTTGTATAATAGAGGAGGCAGCTTGGATTAGAAACCACAGGAATCTCTACTTTGTGCTATGCTATGAACTGTGTGACCGTAATTTTTAACCTCTCTGTGATTTGCTGGTTCTTGATGGGAAAAATCAGCAGGTGGAATATACAGTGACTTTCAATTTTAACATGTAAGAGGGACACACATTCTCCATAGCATCCTCCTTTTAAAAAGTTTGCACTAATAACTGATCGTACATTTCAATGTGACAGCACTTTCTCTGAGTCATTGGAAAGTTCAGAGAAAGGAGAGGGTTTTGCAAA